AGTGACTTTCAGCGAGACTTTTTGAACAAAACTCCGAGTTTGAACAACACTTGAAAAGCAAATACCTACCNAAATGCATTATTTTCAGTATTTATTCAGAAACTGAAAACGGCGATAAGGCAGCATGGGTTTATCAATAAATCATCACCAGTCAACGCAGATATGACAATTTGATAAAGTTATCGGGGGATATGATGCAGTGATAAGATAAGGGTGATCAATTAGGTTCACTGATCAATATGTCATAAAACCTTCGAAACGATCCCTGTCAAATGATATATTGAATGATTCCTGCTTCCCAACTTATTAATCAGAGTTGGGGAGAGATTCTTTATCTCCCACAGTCTATCAGCCCTCACCTCAGCCAAGTGACTTTCAGCGAGACTTTTTGAACAAAACTCCGAGTTTGAACAACACTTGAAAAGCAAATACCTACCTCATTATGGAAGATTTCGCTAGATCAAGCGCTTGGTAGCAGGATACATCGTCGTAAAGTGTTTGCAGAGATAACTTCATTGGATTGCTCAGCTCAGCAATTGCCGATGACGACGTCAATGCGGTGGATGTCGCTGAAATTTCAATCTCAATCCAACTGATCTCAAAAATCTGCCGAGATCGCTCATGCTCTCTCTCGGTACTGTACCTTGTCGCAATATTCAAGTGAACTGATGAATTATTCACTCCAGAGAAACCATCAGTTGGTTCAAATGCCATTTGTGAAGCTAATTTTATTCAGTGATACCAATTTCATTCGAACAGGTCAACTCTAATGTCGCATGAGTGAGTCAATTGCAAATTCATTTCGAAAACTGACTGAGTACTGAATGATTCATTGAAATTGATAGATATGGAACCAAAAGTGACTAATTTCGATTTCGAAAAATTTCTGATTTCATGACTGATGATACTGAATGACTGTTGCAATCATATGAGCACCTATCCACCGAAAAAACAATCTTTGATTTACAGTAACAATCGGGCTGATCAGAATTCGAGTTTAATGCAGTACCAGAAAAAAGTTTCGCAGTGAAATCATAAAAGAAAAACTGCCACGTAATTGTTTGAAATTCTTTGATGATTACTCACTAGAGATGAAAGGATGACTTATAATAAAAAAGATTTGTGTAAAGTTTCACTGAAAATAACGCTAAACTTAAGACTGGAAGTAATATGATAACTCAGATGCTCAGATGGCATAGTTAATTGCAAAAGGATGACATGACGGTTGCGTTCTGCAAGGTGAATAAGAAGAAATAACGACTGTATATGAACGAACGTTTCATAATTCGTCTCAAATGGATATTCCGCCTGGAGAGCGCACAAACAAGATTCGACGTCGATTCCATGCAATCAACCACCTCATCAAAATCTCCAGAATCCCAAACCTCCAACGGCAGATTTGTGGATCGTTCCGTAGCATTGCCGTTCATATATGAGTAAGATGCTTAAATGTGACATATTATACCAATGGGTTTATCCAATTTCAAGCCAGTGGTTCAGTGATTCATAACCTTCTCCCTTTCAAACACTCGCTTGGCCGTAAGGCAGACGAGCAACATTTCAGTAACTTCGTGGTGAATATGGGTAATGTATGAGTAACTTCGTGGTTCTGAATGGATGAAAGCAACGTGAATATGAGTAATTTCGAATGTTTTGATTTGGAAAAATGTATTACTTGAAATTCGAATGAATAAACAGTGCTGTCTGTGTATGCATGATTTAATGTATATGAATGAAACTGTTTTCGATGTTACGCACAAGTGGGTACCGACTAGATTCGATATTATTCAACAAATATTTTGTTTGATTTATTTACACGGCAACAAATATTTTGTTTGATTTATTTACACGGCAACACCAGTTAACCATCAACAACAAGTTAATAACATAAATAACGTCGTCGTTATGGCTATAAACAAGGTATCGGCTCGATGGATTTGGTCCCATTGCTTGCTTTTCAAGGCACAATAATATTTTAATCACAACTCAATAACATTTGAGTTTTTCAAGCTTTTAGTTCGGATGTTTTTTCAATATCTAGCCATATCCGAGAGTTCTTCAGATTACGACCGCCGCAATGACTGCGTAATTTTCCTTAAGTAACGATTTCCCCACTCAGAGCAATCAGTAAGTCTCAAACTAAATTTATCTCCTCATTCCGGCAACGAAATTTTCCAACTCAAACACTTTCAACATTTCGCCGAAAGTACCGAACACAAACCTGTAAAGTGTTGACTCTGCGTGGATGAAACAAAATTATCATAGTGATGAGAACTATTATATACACCAGAAGACGTATCGGAGGTGCTTGGCAACGACGCTTTTTGCGAAGGACTATCAGCATCCGAAGAGAACATCGAGGTCGAAGTTGGCGAGGCGGAATGTGTTCCTGAAATTGTGCTCAGTCAAAGACCGTGAAAGACAAATAGAACAAATGCGAAAGAACAAGTGAATGCGAATTCGGCGAGGTCAATTTAGGCCTTTGGCATGAAATCGAATCAACGATTCGTGCCTCTAATGCCGATACATGCCTCCTTTCTTAGCGATTCCACTAATGTGAAAACAAACAGAATCAGCACAAGGCATGCAATCATCTCAAATTTTGCTAAGCAATCAGTACACGGGGAAAATGATCGCTTCAGAATCCGTTAAGTGTGGAAGGGGACAAGCGGTCGATAATGAATGTGAGGATTACCTGAGCTCAATCGACTCCTACACTGTGGTTCATTCTCGTCATGTTTTTCTTTCTTTTTCGAATTCACAATTTCACCGTTAAGTGTGATACGAATTTTAGAGATCGACTGGAAATTATGGCGTTTACTGTCCGGTTCAAAGCCTTCGTCGTCTTCGAGCTGAACTGACGACCTGAAATCAACATCGAAATGACCAACATCGAAATCACACATACTAGCTCCGTAAAGTTGCTTAATAAGATCTTTTACGTAAACGCCATCTTATAGTCAGTTTCGGGTTTTACTGAAAGCAAACTACCTAAAATTCGAGTCTAAACAACAAATACAATTGCCTCGGAAGACATTTTTAAAGATCAGCTTAGAGTACATATCAGAAGATGGATTTTTTGACCTGGCAGGACTGGTTGTACAAGACTGATTGGATCCTTCAGAACCCAATCCAGAATCAGTTCCTTTAGTGGCAACACCATCTTCTTCCAATAACAACAACGGCGAATCATTATTATTATTATTATTGCTCGTGTTAGCATTGCTTTCATGAGGGGGTTCATTAACAGTTAGTGTTGTTTTTGCTTCATCTGCATCAATAAATGCAAACTCGTCAAGGGCACATGAGGCGGTATCCATCTGAAATCATAGAATCCACTCAATTTTGAATGTGATCGACGAAGTCATTTCATTTTTTAAATGCACATTTCGATCAAACGTTCAAAAAAGTCTAGTGTTATCTCTGATGAGGCTAATTCTTCGAGTCCAGATTCACCAAACGGTAGAATAATTCAAGCATTCCACGGAATCTTCATGGAATTTGTCAAAACGTTAAAAAAATTTTACAATGTGATCAAGAGGTACTCCGAATGGTGGACTTAGGCACTGCCGACAGCCGTTCTTGTGCTTTCGTAACGCCAACATTGACCTGAAATGGTCAATTACTTTAGGTTAATGCTGTAACGCTATCAATAAAACCTATGGTCATATGGAATTGTGATAATGAACCAAATACCATTCAATTTATGACTTTAATTGAGGTGAAGTGTGATATATCTCATGATGGAAGCAAAAATCGCTCAGTCGCAAATCGCACGGTGACATATCGCTAGTTCAGTGAGGTATGTATGTCCATATGGTGTCATCTCTGATGTTCTAGGACTCCATATGGACATCGAAACTGAATTTGTGGCGAAAATGGAAACAAAGCTGATACTGATAGGCGCTAGGAGTAATAATAACGATAACCAGTACGATTGCTGAGACTGGTCCGTTTAATGCTTGAGGTTAGCAGCAATGAAGTGAGTGATCTCAAGTATTCTAGATAGCAAACCTGAA